GACATCACTCATGCGCACAACCAGCTCCCATCACTCGGGGCTTCACACACACGACATGCATAGACAAAGCAGCAATGGAGATAAAAGCGAGTCCTTCTTGTACACAAAAAATTCAATTAACTGCCGCCCCCAGGCGCAGCCTTCAAACCTCCCAAGACCACCGACCACCATAGCCACAAGGCCCTGCCGTGGCTGGCGTCCAATCCCCACCACTGCTCAATCCCTCCGACTGCTTCGCCCCGAGACTACCGCGGGTCCACCCCACGTCGTCACTCCGCCCGTCCTTGGGCTCATCGAGCCTGTTCGGCGCCGCGGACTTTCGCGCATGGCTCGCGCAGCATTGCAGCTGAGATCAAAGAGAGAGAGAGGAGAGGGTTGCGCGAATTTATAGCGCGGGAGGCGGTGGGTTGTCAGCGCAAGGTGTGGGCAGCGCAGGTTGTAGATGAGCAGGATAGGAGGAAGGTGGGGAGTTAGACGGTTCGACCCGCGGGATGGCATGGTCCTACGTGATTGGGGTGTCCGTTCAAGTGGTGCGCGGTTTCCCGCTCTCCACATTGATCCGAGCATCCCAACTACGCGGCCAATCACTTCGCGGAGTAAGGATCGAGCTGGGCGGAGAGGAAGACGAAGAGTCCTGCATGGGGGAAATGCGCGCAGCAAGAAGGGAAGATGGCGCGGGGATGCAAAGCAAGAAACGGGGGTGCGAGACGCACGAAGAAGTCGGAGCTTAGGCTCGCGCGCGCAAAAATTCAAAAAGTCCCCGCCGAAACCGTTTCTTGGTTTTCATACCGCGGCCGCTATTCGCCCGCGCGGGAAGCCGTTTCAAAAAGAAAACAAAAGCAAAAAGAAAGAAAAACCCCTGTTTGTCCGCATCCGTGCCTCGGGGCTTCCGGGGGATTTTTCCTCAGGGATACGGGAAGCCGCGCGGTACGGGTCTGAGCTTATCACACGCCAGCCAAAAGGACACCGCTCCAGTCCATTTTCTTTTGGCGCGCAAGGCCGAGGGTTGGAGACCTGTGGGAAACTGACACGAACCAGTGGAAATCCCCAACTCAACTCCGGGTCAAGTTAAAACAGCTACCGCAGCAGGAAGAGAGAAGGAATTTGCTTATTGAAGCCATACCGGAGGAGTGGAAGAAACTGCTGGGTCCTGAAGGAATCAACCCTCCAGGAACGTGGATGAGAACGGTGTCAACTGTAGACACCACTACGTTTGTATTGCTAAAGAGCTGGGACGAGGATCTTAGAGGGAGATGCACGGTAGAAGAGTATAGTAGGATTAATGACCACAGTGATATCCTAGAGCTTCAGAGAACCACCACCAGACTAGGCCTGAGAGATCTAGAAGAAGTTCGGGTGAGAGCGGTCAAGCTGCAAGGAAGAGGGGAACCAACGGTCTACAAGTTGGTAGCGGGAGGGGAGGCTAAACAGAGGATGCGAATAGACCCATTAATGTGCGGATGGAAAGCTGGGGCCGAAACTATTTTTGATACAAGGTATTTGTCTACCAAGCTGGTAAACTCAAAGCTCAACCCCAAGGGAAACATGCTCTCCAAGTTGATTGACAGATGGGAGCGAGCGCAACCAGCACTGCAAACACCAACAGAGGAAAATTTGACTAAATTATGGAACCAGTTAAGTCTGTTGCCCTCTCAGAAGTTCGCATCTCTACTGTGGCTGCAATCACATATTGCAGTACCGACGGCTCGGTGGTTGAACAACAGGGGAATGAACGTTAACCCAAACTGTGAACGGTGCAACTGGCCATTTGAGACAATGACACACCTTCGGTGGGATTGCCCAGGATCGCAGAAGTGGTGGAACTGTTGGTTCCAGCACTGGACCAGAATGTCGGGGGACACCTCGTGCAGAGGCGTGAGCTGGGTGATTCACGGGTTCCTACCGGAAAACATCTCACCGAGGAAAGGTTGGGGGTACATTGCGCAGGTGGGCCGAGCCATCATGATGTGGCTGATCTGGATGGACTGAAATGAAAGGCGTTTCCGGTGTCAAGTCTTGGATGAGGTACATGCTGAGAGGTTGTTCAAGCAGCTCCTGAAAACAGGAATCAGAGCGGATTGGCGTAGGAAAGTTCTGAACGGTAATCGAATCGCAGGGGAAAAGTGGTTCACAGAAACTTGGGCATTGCCTGGTGGGTTGGCAGTGATAAGAGATAATAGACTAGTGATATCACAATGGTTAGAAGTACAATAGATCGATACATAGGGTAGGTTGGAGATAGGCAGGGTGGGGGTTGTTATTAGTAGATGAACCAGGGCACTCGGTTCCAGTGGGCAGTCACAGTAGGCTGCAGACGGGATAGGTAGGGAGGGAGAGTGTCAGTATTTTAGAGGAAATTGGTTCCCCCGGCCGAACTGGGCCGGGTTGTAGGTCTGTGAATATAATTGTAGTCTAGGATCCAGACTTTAGATGTAGATGGTTGGGAATAGGGTTAGGTAACAATAGTATTGGTAATTAGCTAGTCTGTGGAGGTTGGGTTGGGGATTGGTCCTTTCAATTGTAAGCGAAACTGGCTAAGGTACTCCGGGTGGAATTGTCGGGACCCCGGCCCCGGTTGCCATATTGAATTGTAATGAAAGCCTGGAATGGCCCTGCGCGCCAAATTTTGCCGAAGTGCCAGGGTACCGTTTTGATTTTTTTTTTGGCTGGCTCTCACAGCCATTGTAGTCCGGTACCCCGAAGCCCTGAAGGCGCGCGTTAACGGGGAAGCGCCATGGCCGATAGCTGGGCCAAGTACTGGTGGTTTAAACCACCAGTACCTAGCGGATTGAGGCCCGACCCGCTTTTTCCCTGCGCGCCAAGGTCTGTCGAGCCTCTTTCTTTTCGTTTTGTTTGCGTACCCGCTGGTACCCAGTTCCACTTCGTTTTTTTTTTGTTTTTTTTTTTGTATTTACATCGAATCGTCCTGTCGCGCCGCGCCTCCCCTCCGCACTACCGGTTTGCTTCTACCCCTTCCGTGTCTGACGTTATGTCTGTTAGGTTTTTTTTTTTTTTTTTTTTTCTTTTCTGTTTTATGTTTTGTTGCTTTTGCTATTGTTGTTCTCCCGCCCGCTGCAGCCAAGGTTGAAGTCGCCGTTTCCTCCTTCGTGGCCGCAGGGATGGCATTGGAATACACATGCGTGTGCGATGCAGCACGTGCGCGCACCGTCCTCCGGCGCCCTCCTGTTACCTTGCGTCGTGTCTGCACCTCTGACCGTCCATCACGACACGACGTCTGCTTGTGGACCGCGACGTTGGAGACTTGCCTGCTCTCTCTCTCTCTCTCTCTCTCTCTCTCTCTCTCTCTCTCTCTCTCCACATGTATGAACGCATCCAACAAACGCCTAACCTCCAGAGTGGCCAAGTGGACGACCGCCATGTGGCCACCTTCTTCCCCTGAATACAACGTAAGGTCATTCTAGCTGTATCTAGACTGAAAGACGATGACCGTACGTTGTATTTGGGCAAACAAGGTAGGAAAAAGGTTGTCCTGCACGTTTCCCGAGCGGCCAACGGTCGAAATCCTTGACAACTCTTTTTTTTTTTTTTGTCGGCCTCACAAGTGGGAGTGTAAGCCCCCCTCCGTATATCACGCGTTCTTTTTTTTTTTTTTTTCTTCTTTCTATATTCTTCTCTCAACTTCTGTTTCTTTTTCTCTTTCCACTACCTACTCCTAAGACTATCTAGAGGGGACCCCTGCAAGCATAGTTTTCCTCTCTCTGTGAAGGGGAGATTTCATGTTGCCCCTTGCCCCTAATGGTTAGGGTATAGGGTTGGGGCTGCCAGTGGGGGTCTGGCTAACACAAAGACCGAGACCGGCCAGTAGCTGTGCCTACCTTTCTCATCATCCCCCACCCTTCATCGAGTAGCAGCAGAGGCTATGGCCAACACTCTCCCACACACCACACACAACCCACTTGCGCTCACACTCACACCCGTGTTGGTCATAGACCCCGCTAATACCGATCAGGGGTATCCAGAGGACTATCACAGTCAGTCGGCCTTGTTTTTATTTTCCACAAAATAGTCCAAAACGACGTCTGTTTGGGCCCGTTGGAACTCCCCACGGCCTCGAGCCCGAACCTGCTTTTTTCTAGCGAAGGCCGCTGCGCGTTAAGGGCCGCCCTAAAAAAAGATAGCAGGTGGAGGTACTTGTGGTTTAATCCGATCTTTTTTGCTAATGGGATCTCACCCCTGCTAGTGGAACGGTGCCCCTGTAGGTAGTAGTTGTGTTCCAATTTTTCGCAATTTGCAGTAACCATTCCCGATTGGCCAGGGTCAGCAACTTGCCACCCTACATCTGACCACCGGCCATTAGGGCTGGGGGCAACATGTGAGAGGTAGCTATGCTTGCAGGGTTCCCCTATATAGGCTTAGGAGTAATGAATCTCAAGGGGGTAGTGCAAAGGCGCTGCCCTTGAGATTTTCTCAAGTCGAGGGTAGTGGAAGGAGCGCCCCCCCCCTAAAAAAAAAGGGAAAAAAAAAGGAGCCCCAATACCGAAAGTCAACCTAACCACGTCCTTGACTCCTTCGACGCCAGGTTGAATAGTATTCCCGCCGCTACCGGTATGTCCACGCAGTGGCCATCGGTCCTCGTTATGGAAGCACGTGGGGACCTCGCCCCCATGCCGAACAATGCCTAAAGCAAACCTGCAACTCGGTTCGAGCGCTCGACGACGAGGTCTCGGGGATGCGCCCTACGAAGAAAAACGAAACGAAACGAAACAGAGAACGAATAGAAACTGGCGGGAAGCGGGAACATTTTTTCCCCGCTGCCAGGTAGGAGCGCCGTGCAATAGAACCGAAAAAAAGGGATAGTGAGGGACGGAGAGACAGGAGAAGAGAGAGAGAGAAGAGAGCGGGCGGCCGTTTCAGACGGCCGCCTGAAGACTGAAGCGGGAAAAAAAAAACAAAAAAAAGGGAAACGAAGATCCTTTCAGGGGAAAGGAGCCGGGGGGGGTAAACTGGCGCGCGACAAAGAGGTAGTCGGCGCCCGGGAGCCGCGTGGCAGTCTCCCTGGGGCCCGTTTCTCGTGGAGCTGTCCTCGTTGACACGCAGGATGGACTCCTTCCACCGTGTACGGGATGCTGTCACATTGTTCGATCGTGTATCGTTATCGTCCTTGTCACCTTCATTCTACCCATCCTCGTCAGCCTCCCCCTCCGCCTCCTCCTCCTCCTCCTCATCATCATCATCATCATCACCGACCTTATCTGCCCGCCGGTTAAGCGGATATGGAGTTTCGGTGTTAAGCTCGGCGCGTTGCGGTCCCCTGGCAATGGCGGCAATGGCGGTCAGTGTATTGATTTTCGCTGTGACGATGATGACTGTCGTCATCGCAGATGGCAGCCCAGGTGTAACCTACCTTCCGAAGGGTGTGCAAGTCTCGCTGCGCGCCAAGTGGTCGGGAACCTCCCTCCTCCTCGAAGCCGGAGAGTTCGTCGGAGCGACGAGGGAGGATCTGTTCTGGCCGTTCGTGGAGGAATGGATACACGGCCAACCTCCTCCTCAGTCGATAGGAGCGACGGGTGAGTCCTTGCCGGCGGATGAGAGATGCGCGGCGGCGATGGGCGGCAGTGTGCGACGCCTTCTAGGTCCCGCGTTCGAGCCCATTTTCCTTCTGTCGCTTTCTTTCCGCGAATACTCTCCCAAGCTGGTCGTGTATCGACAGCTGGCGTGGCAGTCTCTCCGTCGCTTTGGCTTCACTTCTTCCTCCCCCTCTGATGATGATGCTACCGCGGCTGAGGACGGGGGGAGGAGCGGACGACACGTGGCCCGCCCGGGGCCTGCCAACTCAGCAGCGGCGAAGGATCGTCATCGACTCGACAGTAGCGATCCCTTCCCCACTAACGGGAGTTGCTGTTGGGTCGATGTTGGCGGGCAAAAGCCGCTCCTCGATCCCGCGGAGCTGGACACGTGGATCGAGCGCGCCAAGCTCGGTGCCACGGTGGCGGACGAGGCTGAGCATCTTGTAGAGGTCCACAGCTTTGATCATGTCATCTCTGACGGCAGCAGTGTTGCTGCTGTTGCAGTCCTCTATGGGGCCATGGGGACAGCGTGTTTTGAGAAAATGCACGCTGCGCTCTCCGCAGCAGCCAGGGAGGGCTATTTTAAGTATGTTTATCGGCCGGTTCTGCCGCATGGCTGTGGTGGAGATGGCGGGAATTGCCTCTTGATGGGGGCGGGGGCCGATGTCACTCTTGGCGGGTACGGCGTTGAGCTGGCATTAAAGAACATGGAGTATAGCGCGATCGACGACAGCAGCGTGAAGAAAGATGTGGCGACGGAGAGCGGGAAGCCGACAGAGGATCTGGATCGCGCAGTGAATGGATTCATCTTCTCGAAGCTGCTGGCCAGACGACCAGAGAAAGCAGCCGAGCTCCTGACGTTCCGCGACCATCTGATGTCGGCAGCAGACATTGATGACAAGATCAACGTGTGGGATCTGAAGGATATAGGGTTGCTAGCCTCGCAGAGGATCGCTCAGGCCTCTGATCCCCTGCGGCTTCTGCAAGAAATCAATCACAATTTCCCCAGCGTCGTGTCTTCCTTGTCGAGAATGAAGCTGAATAAGACGGTCTCGGACGAGATCCTGAGTAATCAGAGAATGCTGATGGCGGGAAAGAACTTGCTGGCAATCAATCAGGCAGTAATCGATCTGGAAAACCTGGATCTGTTCACGTTGATGGAGATTGCGAGGAAGGAGATAGCGCTCGGCTCCCAGCTCTCCAAGCTGAAGCTTCCGAGAGAGGTCATGAAACAGATGATGAATCTTCCCGAGCCATCGCTCGACATGGTGGTTCGCGTGGACGTTAGGTCGGACGAATTCCTGCACTTCTTGAACGACCTGGAAACCGATGCCAAGTACCGAAGATGGGGTAATAATCTCTTTGAGCTCCTGATGCCCATGTTTCCAGGGCAGATGCGATACATTCGCAAGAATCTGTTCACCGCTGTGTACGTTATTGATCCCGGGTCACCGAAGTCGCTGCGTGCCGTCGACTCGATCATGCACTACTACAACAATAACGTCCCGGTACGGTTCGGTATAATCATCGCCACGGGGGAGGTGTTGTCCATAGTCGAGGAGAAAGGAGGAGCAGGAGGAGAGGCGGTAGTGAAGAAGGCGCTGCAGGAGGAGAATGGTACTGTGAGTCAGAGTGTGAGCTTGATGACAGCCAGGGTGTTCTATCATGTTGTGAGGAATTTCGGCGCGAAGGAAGGATTCAGCTTTCTGGCAAAGCTGAATGAGGTGAGGGGGGGAGAGGAAGGAGGAGACGCTCCGTCTGCGGGGGCGGACTCGGAAGAGGAGGACGATGCGATTTCTCAAGAACACCTGGAGGAGGCGCTTAGGGCAACTCTCAAACGGCTCTTGGCCAAAGAGAAGAAGGAGAAGGTGGCTGCAGATGAACTGATTGCAGAGCTGCGTGGCAATCTCGACTACCTGGACGATGTGATCCTCAGCACTCTCTTCGCTCACAGGAAGGGTCTCGATAACGCCGCCATCCCGTGCCTGGTCATGAATGGCCTCGTTTTCCCTTCTAATCAGGTGCTCATTGCCATGAACGAGGAGCTGGGTAGGATCCAAGAGAAGGTGTATTACGGCTTGATCTCTCAGAAGACGAACGTGCTGGACAGGTTACTGCAAGAGCACGGCTTCGCTCGCTACAACCCAGTGGTCTTGTCAAGTGATGGGACAAAACCCAAGTACGTGGAATTGGCATCTGCTGCTGTGGAGGAGAAGAGCATCCTGAGGAAGCTCAGGTACCTCCATCACCCAGGAGGCGATGACGAAGTGAAAGCGATCTCTCATCTGGTGGTTGTGGATATCGAACGGAAGGAAGGCAAGCAGCTTGTCCTGCAGGCGCTTCGACACTTGGCCAGTGACGTGGAGGGCAAATCACGCGTGGGAATCTTGCACAATCCGAGAAGGACGAGGGATCGGACCTCTGCCCCTGGGGCTGATGATGATCCTGAACGCCCTGCTGCAGCTGCTGCGGCTGCTGCTGCTTCTCTCTTACCACGTATTCTCCTAGCTGCCACGAGCCTTCCTGGCCAGTCTGCCAAGCTGCTGCCTTTCTTGCAGACTCTGCTGGAATCCTCAGCCGTGGCGGAGTTGATGACATCAACGAACAAGTTGCAGGCCGAAGCTTCTGTCAGGGATACCCTCCTTGACTCTGTGGCAGCGATGGCGAAGTCTGCTGGTCTGAGGCCTGACGGCCTTCTCAAGTCGTTGACAGATCCCACAGCCATTCGCGATGCACTTCAGCGGATCCAGGAGGAGCAGGAATTCGTGAAGTCGTTGGGGATTGAACCGGGTCTGGACGCTGTCGTCACCAACGGCAGAGTGCTGCTGCTGGGTCGGGACTGCAAGCAATTGACTGCCGAAGACTTTGAACTGCTTGGGAAAGTCGAGTACTCCCAAAGGGTGTCTGAAGTGGAGACGCTCATGGAGGATCTCGAATGGAGCGATGCCGATCCCGATGACGTGACGAGCGAATTCCTGAGTACTATGATCATGGCAGCATCGTCTGCTGTCTCAAGCCGGACCAAAACCTCGGAGACGGCCAAGTTCGAGTTCCTATCTGATCAGCACAGTGCAATTGTTCATCAGGACGACAACTCCTTGCTGACAGTCGATGCCATCCTTGACCCGATCAGCACAACTGCCCAGGCCATCACACCTCTGCTCATACTCCTGCGCGACTGGTTGCATCCCAGCTTCCGCATTATCCTGAATCCACAGACCAACCTGGCTGATCTCCCCTTGAAGAACTTCTACAGATTCGCCCAACCTCTGAACAAGGATCTGGTTAGCAGCCTTCAGGATGGCGCGGCGGCACGATTCATCAACATGCCAGCCTCGCGGACGCTTACGATGAACCTGTATGTGCCAGAGCCTTGGCTTGTGGAGCCTGTGGTCGCGCCTTACGACCTTGACAACCTGCAGCTGCAAAAGCTGGATGCGGGCACCATGCATGTGGCGTTTGAGCTGGAGGCACTTATGGTAACAGGGCATTGCTTTGAAGAGGGTTCGCGAGACCCCCCCCGGGGACTGCAGCTTCTGCTGGGAACCAAGGAAAACCCGCACATCGTGGACACAATCGTGATGGCGAACCTGGGGTACTTTCAGCTGAAGGCTGCTCCTGGAGTGTGGGCCTTGCGGCTTGCCCCCGGCCGGTCTGCCTTGCTCTACAGTACTGTGCATGCAGATGCTGACAACACGTTGATCCCGGAAAAGGGAGATGCCGGCGAAGAGGAGGTGGTGAGCGTACGTGTGGTGGTGAGTGATCTGAAGGGCAAGGTGGTCAGAATGAAAGTGAAGAAGAGGCCTGGCAAGGAGACTGAGAAGATTTTGTGGGAGGAGGGAGATTGGAATAACGAGGACGAGGAGCAAGGAGCCACAATCGCAAGACACGGTGCAGGAGGGTCTAATAAGAGAGGCAGCTCGTGGTCTGATTGGTTTCTGGGACTGGGTGGTAGGAAGAAAGAGGGTTCCAATCTCTCCTCGTTGGAAGCATCATCTCCAGAAGGGCTGCCACCTTCGTCAAGGAGGACGGGTGAAATGATCCACATCTTCTCAGTGGCTAGCGGACACCTGTATGAGCGTTTTCTGAGGATTATGATTTTGAGTGTCATCAAGAATACGAACCGGCCCGTGAAGTTCTGGTTTATCAAGAATTACCTGTCTCCAAGCTTCAAGGACCTGATCCCGCACATGTCGAGGGAGTACGACTTTGAGTACGAACTCGTGACATATAAATGGCCCTCATGGCTACACAAGCAAGTGGAGAAGCAGAGGATCATATGGGCTTACAAGATCCTATTCCTGGATGTACTGTTTCCACTCAGCTTGAAGAAGGTGATCTTTGTCGATGCGGATCAGATCGTGCGTACAGATCTCGGCGAACTCTACGACATGGATTTGAAAGGCAAGCCCCTTGCGTATACCCCTTTCTGTGACAACAACAAGGAAATGGATGGCTACCGCTTCTGGAAACAGGGGTTCTGGAAGGATCATCTGCGAGGCAGGCCTTATCACATCAGTGCACTTTACGTGGTTCATCTCGCAAAGTTCCGACTAATCGCGGCTGGAGACCATCTCCGTGTGGTCTACGAGAGCCTCAGCAGGGATCCCAACAGTCTGGCTAACCTGGACCAGGATCTGCCAAACTATGCCCAGCACAAGGTTCCGATCTTCTCGCTGCCGATGGAGTGGTTGTGGTGCGAATCCTGGTGCGGAAACGCAACCAAGGCAAAGGCGAAGACAATTGATTTATGTAACAACCCGATGACCAAGGAGCCGAAGCTCGAAGGAGCGAAGAGAATTGTGGCTGAATGGCCAGCACTTGACGAAGAGCAGCGTATATTCACCGCGAAGATCGAGCGCATGTACATGCAGCTGCAACCGGATGCAGAGCTTCCCGAAGTCGATATGAAGTCACCAGAGGAGCCAGCTTCCGCCCCGAGCTCGATGCTGAGTGAACAAAGCATGGAAGGCGAAGGGCAGAAAGGAACTACTGATAGTGTAGTTGACACAAGCACAAACGGGCGGTCGTCTTGCCCATCTGGGGTGCACCAGGAGGAGGGCAAAGGCTCCGGTTCTGCTGTGACGAGGTCCTCTGGCGAACGAGACGAGTTGTGATGTAGATTAGCTTTTTATCAGACATAAGCTTGCAAGCCGAAGCTTAACCTTGTCCAAGGTTTTGACTCTTTTGATTGTTTGCAGAGTTAATAATGAAAAACTGGTTGCTGTGTGCAATGTTTGACAACCTTGGGCGTGACTTTGGAGTGTCAGGGGGTTGTTTGGTTCAGGGGTTGGTCTCCATTCCATCCTTGTTGTTGTTGCGATGGCCGGCTGGCACCAATCGGCACCTCTCGAGAATTCCACGAGACAGTTTTATAACTTTATTGTTTGCTTGAAGAGTTTGCAGCATGCACACTGGCCTGTTTTCAGTGCCAATCAGTCGGTGTCTGAAGAGTGTGATAAGGCTGCTTTTCGGTGTTTTTTACCCCCCGAGAATTTGTGACAGTTTAGGTGATCTGTTCCAACTTCGGGTTGCAGAAGTTGGAGAGGCAACTCGATTAGTCTGCTTGCACAGCTCACGCCAGGTCGGAATCAGTCGCGAAGGGAGCGCAAAGGGGGGTGCAAAGGGAGTTAGGCTGCAGCCCATAGTGTTTGAGAGCATTTGTGTCTTGACTGCTTAGGATCGTGAATCAGGTTATGCTGGCAGGCATTTACATTCTTTGTTCCATTGAGCTCTTCTTATTATGCAACCGTTTATGTCAGCAGATATTTACATCAACTCTCAGACCGTAGATGGGTATTGTTTTTTTTTTTTTAGTAAGAATAGCCAGGGCAATTTGGTAAGGTAGAGGGTCAGAGAGATGATGGTCTCGGTGAAATTTTGCAGAGGAATTAAGTGTCCGTGCACAAGTCATATATGGTAGAAAGAATCCTGCCTTGGTTAATGTCAGACTTGCCTTGACAACGTTCGGCCAGGAATGCTCCAACATCATTAGCATGAGTCTCCTGGAGAACACTCAAAGCCTCTAGGACTTGGGGGAGGAAACAGGTCTGTCCAGCATGCAAGGGCAGAGTGAGCATTCCCAGCAGATTACGCAGTCCTGTATATCTCGGAAATTGACGTCAGACTAATCTTCGTTGCGATGATATCCGCATCTCTTGACTCCTTTTTTTCCCCTCTTCCTTTTGTTCTTTGTATGTATGCCTCTGTTTGTGTGTGTGTGTGTGTGTGTGTGTGTGTGTGTTTGTGTGTGTGTGTGTGTGTGTGTGTGTGTGTGTGNNGAGAGAGAGAGAGAGAGAGAGAGAGAGAGAGAGAGAGAGAGAGAGAGAGAGATGTGAGGCTGATCGCTGATCATTTTTGGTGGTGTCTGTACGACAGGTCTTTTCTCTTCTCTGTTAAAGCCACAAAGCTGGGCATTTGTTGACATTGGGGGCCTGTGGCAGACAGATGGGTGGATCTCAGGATTGCCTGTGCGTTTGGAAATACGATAAAAATTCATCAAATGAATATGCCGTGGTTCAGACCCTCTTGTTTTCGGTCGAGACCGAGTGTTGAGTAGCTGGCACGTTTGTGGTCTGTGCTGGGTGATGTGATGGATCAGCGATGGCAGACAACTGGAAGTATTAGGTCTTCACACAGGCAAGCAATCAACATCTTGAGCTTGATTGGATGATTAGGCGACGGTGCCATGAAGCTCATCATTTACTCTGTTAGGTTGCCGGGCTGGCATTTGCGTCAGGCAGCTTTGAGCGATGTTCGGGAGACAGATTGGAGAAATCCCCTTCATGTGTTCTAGATCTGCAGAGAATTAGGACCGCTGCCGAGGGACATTAGGGATCAGCTGGGTGCTTCTGTTGGACTGTGGTTGACTGGATAGACCGGATTTCATTGCTCGGTGGATTCAATTGGTTATAATGTATTGCACTCATTGATTTGTTGATTGACTTAATTCATCGATTGATCAGCTGATTAATGGATGGATGGATGGATGGATGGATGGATGGAGGAATTTCAACGGACTGATCTGATTTGGTTTGGATTTGGTTTTATTTGGTTTGATTGGGTCTGATTCACTTGATTTGGTTTACTTTGCTTTGGTTTGGTTTGGTTTGGTTCGGTGTGGCCTGGTTGAGGGTGGTGCAGTTTGATTTGGTTTGGAAGAGAAAGCGGGGCTTGGTTTTGTGTGGTGCGGTTGATTTCGTTTTGTTCGGTTCAGTTCAGTTTTGATCTGGTGTGATTGATTGATTCAATTTTAGTCTATCGGTTGATCATTGCCACTGCTATTCTTACTAGTTGTGGGTTATTTGTGCTTCCCAGCCAAGGCTGTTTTGCATGGATGTTAGTTGTTAGTTGTGTTAAGGAATAGCCAAGGGTACTAACTTACTAAGGGTTTTATAGGTCATTTTGGGACCGTGTTTAGCTGTCTTGTTATTGACAGTGAGACTGTTTTTTGAGGGTTTGTTTGTGCTGGAAATTACATGACTAACTAGATGATGATTTGGGTTTGGTGTTGGCTGATTGAACGATTAGTTGGGCTAAATGAATCTGGCCGTAATAATGCCTGTGGTGCATTCAAGAGGGTTTTGTCCGAGAGTTTTGTCTGCTTTCCGGGATTTTTAGCTTGTATCTGAATCATACCTGCGGCGCATAGGTGAAGTGCGCTGCGCAGTGTGGTCCCGGCTGCGCAGTGCGCTGATCGCAGATGTGCAGAAAAAAAAAAAGAAAAGAAAGAAAAAGAAGAAGAAGTAGAAGCGACCGTGATGTGTGTATACACGCTGGAGAGAGAGAGAGAGAGAGAGAGAGAGAGAGAGAGAGAGAGAGAGAGAGAGAGAGAGACGGAGCAAAGAGCCCTTTCAAATTATTCAGACAACCCCTGCCAGTACTTCAAAAGGTCTCTACCAAAAATTGGCAAGGGTCCCATGGGCAGGAGATGTGTACATTGGACTTGTAGTAAGGAGGGAGCAGGCCAGCTATAGCTTCGAATTCGGGTCCGTGTTTCAGCAGTTATGGGTTACTGACTTACTAACTCGGCATGTGTTTTTCAGGGCTTCACTCCACTACTCACCAAATGTGCAAAACTAGAATGAATCTTCTACTAGAAACTGGAACCATACAAGACATATGTTTTTCTTTTTTGATGAGTGGACCCAGGCCCTTAGGGCCACTGCACGTAAAAAAAGGAAAAACAAAAATTTTGAAAAAAACAAGACAGCTACTGTAGTGTTTGTAGTACTTTTGTAACCCATAACTCTTGGAACACGGACCTGAATTCCGAATCCAGGATATGTTACCGGCCTGCTCGTGGTCTTCCAGCAGTTGGATGAACATTACGTCCAAATGCATGGGAACTCTGCTGATTCTTTGCAGGCGACCGTTCGGAAAAGAGAATAGAATTCAATAGATCCAATGAGTAGTACGAAGTGACCCCAATTTATTTATTTATTTTCTGTGGATGTACAATTTTCAAAAGGGAGGGACACATTTGGTTACCACGACCTACACTTTTTCCTTTTTTTTGTTTTTTATTTGTAAATGCACCGCATCACGTACACGTGCACGTGTGCGCATGCCTTTCAGCATACCAGGCCGGCGTCTCACGGTGCTGCTGCGTGTATTGCTTCCTGAGGTACAGGCATTGCCCGGACGCTATATGGTCGAAGCGTTCAAGAAAGCTCATTTGGAAACTTCGCCAGTTAGTATACAACTTATGCCCGTACCATTCAATTGCCATACCCGCTAGCCGCCCCGGGATGCACTCCCTGAGCAACTGGTCAGACCATCCTTGTGCCTAAGCACCAGTACACCACACATCAGCCTGTGTGTGTCGGAATGATACCCGCACCACTTCGGAGGCCGTCATTTTTTTTCAACGGCGCGACAAAAACTTTCTGCATGGCTGGGCCAAGTACTAGCGGTTTAAGGCAGCCAAACAGGTACGAGGATCTTTTTCGTCTTCTGCAAAGATGGGATCCTTGGAAGGCGGAGGGACAAGGTGCAGGGGGTTCTGGGCAAGGCCACATGGTTGCCCGCCCTGTGTTCCGATTGGCCCTCGGCCATATCTTGGGGTTGAACTCGAGGTCTGCCTCGAGCAGGGTTGCGATTATTGTGGCAGACCGACGGGGTCGAGGCGCCAGCCTCCCAAACTAAGGTTTTTCCGATAACGCCTTGGGGCTGAAACGAATCAGCTCTGATACTTACCTCGCACCCCACACAACATCTTGTACCCGTGGGCATAGCCGAGCATTTTGGGCGGGGGTTAAACCGCCAGGGCGAAACTGAGGTGCTCGCCTCAGTCCCAAGGCTGATTTCAGAAACTTCAGCCGACTGGGATAATCCCAAATTTCCAAAGTTTAGACAAGTGCCGAAGGGCGAGGCATAATCAAAACCACCCGTCAGCTTGAGGACAACAACGCCACTCATTCGACACCAAACATAACCGCAAAAGACTATGCCCAAGAGAAAAAGGAGACAACGAATCTATCACTTATCTCGTGTTAGGTTCATGCTAACCTTCTCGGTGGGGGCCAAGGAGACAGTGGACGCCCTAAGCATCCGAGTCGGGCTCACGAGGTTCGTCCAATTGGCTAGAAGTCTCGTCGTTCGACAGAGGCGGGATCTTGGGCACCCAGGTCCGGAAGTTCGCTGGAAGAGCTCCTGCGTTACGAGAGAGATCTGGGAACCAGACGGACACTTCGTAGCCCAGCACCAGCCTCCGCTAGGAACAACATATCCCAGCTGACACCAACGACAATTAAATTGAGGCTCCCATACGGCGTGGGTTGCCAACCAGGGAAGTATCGTCAAGTCAGTGATGGGGAAGAAAACCGATCAATCAGAACAAACCCTGTTCCCCCTATATGACACGCTTTGGAGGGGTTATCAAAGTGAAACCGATCGGTCTGCAATAGCGCCGTCCGCACATCCACATCGCAGTAGAGATCATCCTCCTTTGGGATCGGGAAAGGAGGAAGGTCGCTATTGCCTTGCGAATCGATGTGAAGTTCGAGCACAGGCAGTTACCAGCGCTCACGTTCGGAGCAACAAATCTCGACTCCATACAAGTCTCAATATACCATACACCACCCACTCCCACCTATCAAAAGGCCAGCAATGTGCACGGTATCATCAACTAAAATTGTCACTTTGTCAAAACAACGATGGCTGGGAGGCAGAGCTGTGTTACCATATGAACGCTAAGTATGCACGTTCGTGTACATACGCGCGCGTTCAATACCCCTGCGCGCGCAGTCAAGTGCGTTTAAACGCGCCACGTGGCGGCGCTCAGGGAAAAAATGAACGCGCGCGAGGGGCCGGGGCACAGACGGTGGGGGCTACCCGGGGGCCTGCTCCGTCCGTGTGGTTTGGTAGTGGGTATTGGGGGTGTCAGGGGGTATTGGGTGGGTCGGGGGGTATTTGGTGGGTCAGGGGGTATTTGGGGGTGAGGGAGTATTCGGGGGGTGAGGGGGTATTGTGCGGTGTGGGGAGGGGGTATTACGGGGGTGAGGGGGTATTAGGGGGTGAGGGGGGGTATTTGGGGGGTGGTGGTCTGTTTTTTTTTCCTTCAATGAACTGCCATTTTACAATTACCAGGCTGCTGTCAATGCACCGTTGAAAAACTCCACAAATGTCTGTGTCCTCTTGAAGAGGAAATATAGCAAGAATGCAGATGCACAAGATAATACCCCACAGATGAGGCATCAAAGGAAATGAAGCAAGAGCAAAGATGCAAGAGATCATACTCCACAAATGAGGAAATAGCTGCTTACGAGCAACTATACAGATGTAGAAAACATAAGAGAAAAAGGGCGGTACGATTCTATATTTATCTATATATATACATATATACAGGGTAACTGGCATTCGGGACGGGACGAATGCCCAAACCCGAACGCCCGAACGTACGGGACCCCTTGGGGATGCGTTCGGCGGTTCAGGCCGAACGCGGACCCAAAAAAAAATAATAATAATAATAATCTGAAAAAAACGATATGTTATGAAGAAAAATAAAATGAACAACATTTCCTTGAGCATTACATCCAAATTTCTTACCAACATTGAAATAAAAATAAAATACAGAAAATAAAACTAATAATCAAAATACGAAAAAATGAAAAGAGAATTAAAACTAGTGAGTGAGCGAGCACGTTTTCGACACCGCCATCTTTGGCGATTTTTCCTAGGCTTCATTTCCGTGCGCACAGGCCCCCCTGACACGCACGGATGGCCGCACGGGTGCGCGACCATGCGGGTCCCCCAGTTAGGCCCCGTGCGGCCTCAGCGCGCAGGCCTTGGGGGGGGAATTTCAGGGACACTGGGGCAACCTCCCTCCCGCCATCTCAAACCTCAGTCTCGCCACCTCCCACCTCTCTTTCACCATCTCCCACCTCGCTCTCGCCACCTCCCATCTCCCTTTCACCATTTCCCACCTCGCCCCCGCCACCTCCCACCTCCCTTTCACGATCTTCAACCTCACTTCCACCATCTTTTACCTCCCTCCTGCCATCTT